AAGGCTTCCTTTGGCTCACGGCTTCGGAGTCCACCGTTGGCCGGTCCCCCTGTCCGGGGTCAGCGAGGCCGAGCATCATGGCGGAGGCGTGGGGAGGGAGGCCCACGCAGTCCTCGGCAGCCAGGAAGCAGAGAGGGGAGGCCAGGTGAGTGGAGCCTTCCCGGGCACAGCCCAGTGACCCACCTCCTCGGCCACGCCCACTCCCTCGCTCACCTCTAAGGCCACGCCCACCACCTTGGCCACACCCATCTCCTCGGCCACGCCCACCCTAGGCCACGCCCACCTCCTAGGCCACCCACGCCCACCTCCAATGACACAACCGCCTCCTAGGCCACGCCCACTCGTCCCCAATGCCACGCCCACCTCCAAGGCCACGCCCACTTCCTCACCCACACCCACCTCCAAGGCCACGCCCACTCCGTCGGCCACGCCCGCCTCCCAGGCTCCACCCACCTCCAGCACCAGTGAATGAATCCACCTAGGAGGTCGAAACCCTGTAATCCACTCACCTCCCAAAGCCCCACCTCCCGACAGGCTGCAGCCCTGGGCACAGGGGCCTTCGTGGGACACTGCAGGTCCATGCCACAGAGTCCCTCCCGCAGGCTCTGACGGGGAGTCCATGCCAGGCCGCCCTCCTGGGGTCTGGGGTGGCTGGTGATTTTGGAGTCCCTGCCCAGACCTCTGCCTTCACCTTCACATAGCAGTCTCCCTGTGCGTGTCCCTGTATCCAGTGTCCCTTATTACGAGGACACAGTCCTACCGGATCAGGAGCCACCCTAATAACCTCATCTTAACCTGCTCATCCCAAAGAGCCTATTTCTGAGAAGGGCACGTTCACGGGCCCTGGGGTGGGGATGCCAACATCTTCTGGGAGGCACAACTGAAGACGAGTCACCAGGAACTCTCTTTCCAAGAAGAACAAGACCCCCAAGAGATGACAGAGCACCAAAGAGCAGCCACAGGAAGGTGAGAGGAGACGCCACATCTGAATAACAGAGCTGAGATAACCCAGGGAAGGAGCCAGCCTGAGCCAGCCCCAGCGGCCGCCCAGAGTCCCAGGCATAGCTATGAAGTACCAGTGTCAGGGCCCCTGACCTGGTGACGCTCTGGCTTCCCAGGGACGCCAAAACCAAAGCCACGCTGTGTTTGGGTCTGCGGTCCGGATGCCCAACCTTCCGTTCTGCAGCCAGGTCGTGTTTGGTGCCTGAGATTGGCCCCCGTCAGTCCCGTGAGGCCCAGGATGCCAAATGAGCTATCACCTGGCAAGCTCCCCTGGTTCCCAAGGGGCCCCTCCGTGGGAAATGCAGATTGCAGGATACCAGAGTTCCCCCAGGGCAAGAAGTTTCCGTGTACCCACCAGGAGGCAGGAATTTATCAGCTCAAAGTCTTACAAATTACCATTCTACAGAGAAAGAGACGGGGTTCAGAGAGGCTCCATGGTTAGCTCAGAATCAGAAACGTCATTCGTACCTAGTAGGCTTCAACTACAAGCCCCTCGCTCTGCTCACTAAAGCCTTGCTCCAAGTCGTATCTGTCGGTAGAAGGTACTCACGTGTCACCACCATAGCAAAGAGAGTCAAGTGCGTCTCTTTCATAGACTTTTCAATCACCGTTCCAATAAAACGATGTGCAGGCATTAAAATCTGAATGTCATATGATTTTCACGAATCACACCTATTATTCTTTAAAAACATTTTCAGCCACTCACGCCGGGCACAGTGCGCACGCCTGTCATCCCAACTACTTGGCAGGCTGAGGCGGGAGGATTGCAAGTTCGAGGCCAGCCTCAGCGACTCAGCAAGGCCGTAAGCAACTGCTGACAAGAACCTGTCTCAAAAAGGGGTGGAGATGTCGCTCAGTGGTCAAGTGCCCTGGGGTTCAATCCCCGGCACCAAAACAACAACAACAAAAAAATTTAAATATTAAATAAAGATTTTCAACCACTTGAAACTGTGAAAGTCCTGTCCATGCAGCGGCCTACTGATCTCACTGTGGGGTTCCATGAGTCGATACACGTAAGGGACGGAGACAGAACCCATAAAGCTGCCTCCCTTGTTGCTAAGGTAAGTCGGGCTCTGGGGACGCCCCTCCGCGTTCCGCAGAACTGTCACAGGGCTGGGAAGGTACAGCGGTCACAGGGAGGTCCTGCACCACTCGGCCCCAGCACACCCTCTCTGTGTGGCACCTCTTCCCGGGGGCACATTTCTGCCTCTAGGAGGAGCGATGTGCCCGGCTGTCCCCTCTTAGCAGCCCCCAGAAGTGGCCCCCTGCCTGGTGGCCTGGCGATGGGCCGCCTGCTCCAGGGTGAGTGGGGGCCGCCCGGCTCCTGTCCCTCCCATTACCCGATCTGTCCCCAGGCTCCGTGGGTGCTGCCACCGAGATCCGGGCAGCAGGCGTCCCCTGGACTTCACGGCATCATGTATCAGTTTTTCAGACTGTCACCCCTGTGGCCAGTGGGCGGTCTCCTGCCGACCCCTCTAAGTGGGCACGTCCCTCTGTGCACAGGCCAGCGGGCGTCCCTTTGTAACTGCCTCGCTCCACCCCTGGGCCACCGTAATGGCAGGATATAGGCTGCACAGGTGCCCCTTGTCCAGCGTCCACTCTGCAGACTGTTGGTGGCTCATCCAGAGGCGGTAGCTCCACCGTCTCTTTCCTGGGGGCTTGGGGATTTGTGCAGGGGCACGAGAAAATCCTCTTCTCAATTAACAACAGGGACTAGGATTGCTAAGCGTGAACTAAGGCTTGCTAACACTGAGACAGTGGCGGGCGACCAGGGATAATGAGTTCTCCCACCGACTCCGTACACTGCAAAAAATAAGAGAGACAGTAAACATCACTGAAACAAAACATTCGTCCCCATGTTGCTTGTAAACGCAGAAACCTCAAGTATCTGTCAAAAAATATGACAGGATTGGGCTGGGAGCTGGGACTCAGTGGCAGAGCGCTTGCCTGGCCTGTGTGAGGCACTGAGTTCAACTCTCAGCACTGCTTATAGATAAATGAAATAAAGGTCCGTCAACAAGTAAAAAACATTAAAAACAAAAACCCCACGGGATTTCGTTTTGCATGTGGCCCGAACAGATTTGCTCCTTTCTTTCTCTGGGCCACAGCCTAAGACAATCCCAAAACGCTTTTCATCTCTGGTGGTATCAATAAAGCATCAGAATCAAAGTGCGGGGTGGGGGCGGGGGAAATGGGAAGAACGGGCTCCAGAGACTGTTGGAGCCACCACCCACTGCGGGGTCCTGAGTCCTGAGCAGAGGCCAGGGACACACTCCTGGGGGCCTGAGGTGGGCCTGGGGCTCCGACCACCTGAACAACATCCCTCTGTGTCCTGTGGTGACTTCTGGGGCCGACAGAGCGGGGGGCCAGCCTGGGCAGGGCCTTGTCCACAGGGCCTTGGGGTCTGGGGCTGGGGACTGCCCTTCCAGCCGGGACTGGACGGAGGCCCCTCCACCCTGGCCTTGCTCTGGACAGGAAGCTGAGCTCTTGAGAGTGACTTGACTCCCCTGGTTTCCAGTGTCCATGACCGAGGACTGCATTCCCAGATTCCTCACGGGTCCCCCGCTGTTCGGGTGGGTTCTCCCAGGGCAGGAATGGCTAACGTGTGGCCGGGGTGTGGGGGCGGGGGCAAGTCTGGACTCGGCTGGAAGGGAGCACTCTGCTCCGTGATGCTGGGCACAAGCCCGAGGGTGGACATGGCCCACGGGTGGACGTTTTATGCCACTTACTGGCCTTGCAGGTCCAGCTCACCAGTCCCTGCCTGCAGGGAGGGCCGTTTGTCCCGCCCCCTTCCCCCTGCACACACCACAGCCACCCTGTGCACTGTACTGGGGCAGCCCTGGAGCATGGCTGGGACCAGGGACACGCTCAGGGGCTGGCTGCCTTCCTGTGCTCAGCCCGGCCCACACCACCCCTGCCGTCCCCCGGACCCAGGTCTGCCCAGCCCCAGCCCCCTCCTGTTTCTGACCATCCTGTGTCCTTTCTGGGAAGTCGGGGACTTCCCTGCAGGGCCCAGCTGGGCAGCACATCTCCCTCCAACCACCAGTGGACGGGGCAGCTCCAACTCCACCTGGACACCACCTCAAGGCTCTGAGCGGCTCTCTCTGCACTACTGCCGAGAGGTCAGGGCGAGAGGCCCAGGTCCTGACGCTGACCCTGCCTCCTGCCCCAGCTGAGGTGGCCAACTCACAGGACCGTGGCAGCAAATGGTTGGCACCGGCCCATGCACACCGCAGCTGGAGAAGGGTCTTCCTTTAGTCAGCGTGGCTTCAGCCAGGTCTTTCTGACCATGTCACCTGGCCCCACACGTCAGCAGGGGCCTGGACGCTGGCCCTCAACACTGAAGCACTAGACCAGAAGCCCAGGCCTCCTTTCCCATCCCAGGGCTGCAAGGAGCCGGCCCTCTCCTAAGACGCACACCTGCACCATGGGGGTCCAGCACTGGTGCCAGGCCAGCCTCTGGCAGGAAAGCGAGGGGAGGGCTTGCAGATGACCCCTCATCTAAAGCTGGCAGGAGAGCGCTTGTAAGGTTTCCTTCCAACAGAACCTCTGCCACTCAGGACCCCCATCAGGGTCCCCAGTGGGCACAGTGGTGGCACACGTCTATAATCCCAGCTCCAGAGGCTGGGGAAGGAGGACTGCAAGTTCAAAGCCAGCTTCAAGAGACTTAGCGGGGTCCTGGGTAACTCGCGCCGTCTCAAAAAAAAAAAAAGTGGCTGGGGACACGGGTCAGTGAGTGGTTAGGCGCCCCTGGGTTCGATCCCCAGTACTGAAAAGGAACCAACAGGGCAGCAGCCGGTGACCCCGCCCAGCCCCATCCCCCGGGGCTGGACACCCTTTCTTCCACATTTCCCAGCTCAGCTGCATTTTCACCTGCGTCTCAGAGGCCCTGGCCCTGGCCTCGGTGATCCTGCCCGGGCTCACCCCGTAGGGGCAGAGGGGAGCCCATCTCCTAAGGGCAGGCGCTCTGCGCGACACAGAAATAAAGATTTCCGATGTAAATTTTTACTATTTTATTTGTGAAAAAACTACAAGCAGAATTCATAAATAGACATTTCTATTTAAAGCAGGAAAATGATAAAGTGGCTTCTAATAACATAGTCGTGCACATGCCAGTAACAGGAATATATTAACATCTTTTATTTGCTAGACAAAGAGCAGTGTCCAATATAAATTTCCCCAAAACATTTAAGACCTGTGAATTTCTGACCAGTTCACAAAACCACCAACTGACACTTTAGCATGAAGAGAAAACAAACCTAACAGACCGTCAGCTCTAGAGACCTTACAGAGCAGAAACTTCCAAAAGCGTTATACAAGCTGTCTTTCTGGGCAAATGGAAAATAGAGCTCGTATAATACATGAACAAAAATTCACAAGGTAAGATTATGTTTTGACATACTTAACAAGCATTCTCTATTTGTCTCCAACAAACAAAGCTAAGGAAATAATGTAACCATCTTTACACAGTAAATTAAGGTTACGAGTCATACACAAGAACAGAACTGCTTGCGCATTAGAAACTGTCCGGCTCCATCGTCCAACTCTAAATGTCGGCTCTTACACCATTTTCGGTTACATACAAGCAAAGGTTATTATATATTCAGCAATTAATAAACTTTCAATAATTTAAGATACGGTAGCTTAAAAAAGTAGACTGAGAATGGTCTCGGTAAGGCAGGTGGAACATCGTATGGAAGGACTCACAGAAGCTCCTGCCGACGTTGTGTTTGAATATCCAGATTGGAACGGAAAGGTCTGGGTTCAAATAGTTAGTGGGAGTCGGAGGTCTTGACCTCTGTCCTAACTGCGCGACGCAAGCAGAGCGGACAGGTCAGCTGCCGCCCGCGAGGGAGATCGTGGGAGACCGTGTGGTGTCCAAACAAAGGGAAACTTGCGTTAACACTGTGCTTTTTGTTTTGATTTTTCACCTGCTTTCTGTGCCACTGAATACCGAGTGTTTCTGGTCCTTTCAAGGTACATCCTCATCACCTACGCTAGCTAGTGTTCAGACGCACTGCCTAGGAACCGCAGGCGGGCCGCAGCCGAGGGAAGTGGGAGGAATCCCGTTTCCAGAGATCATGCCTGAGGGATGTCACCAATTTTGGAAATTCAAGGTCTGGGGTACCCACCACCTCGCTGCCCCAGGCACGCGGCAGCTTCGGGCTGGCCCTGTGACATCTGGTGCTTGGACAACCCGCCCTTCGTCTTGCCCCAACGGCAAGCTGGGCCCTCTCGTCCTAAAGCCAACCCCCACCCCTTCCTTCACCTCTCCCCATTCTTTAATTGATCACGGAGGCAAAACCAAAAAACCAAGACACTGGCGATGGATCACTGAGCAGCCTCTGAGTAGCTGGATCATCAGCTTTTCCACTCATTAGGGGTCCAATCACTTTACATGAAACTGATTTGCGAAAGCACACAGTGTTCGTGAACAAAGTGCATGCCAACACTGACTGGTTCCAAAAGCAGTGCAACCCACGAGTTTGGTGGCATTTAATTTTTTTAAAAAAGTTAATTAAAAAACTTAGCAATTCCTTACACCTCTGGAAAATAAATATGGCTGACTAATTTACCCTCCCTGAGACCCGTAATAAAAGGAATATTAAAACTTTTTAGAAGGAATGTCTTTGCAATATCCCACTAATATTAAAAGGTGGATTTAAAATTCATAGTCAAATCACTATGTATTATATATTCTGATGCTTATAGAAAGCACCCGATTTCCTTTGGTTCATTAATAAATACTTTAAAAAGGTATTTAAAAAGATAAGCACAGCTTGCATCCCAGATACAAGCATTATTTTAAAAAGAAGGGAACATTGTCCATGCATTTGAGAATAGGACCACAGCAACGAATGGCACTGCTTTATAATCTATACCTTTGAGGACAAAATTTAAATTATGGTACATTGGTGACTACAGCATCGTTTTAATGTAAATGTGAGAGGAACCTTTCCTGCTGGCTACTCAATTCAAGCTGTTAAATTTTTTTTTTTCCTTTTACTTGTTGCCTCCAGATAGAAATTAGTTCTATTATTAAGGAAACCAGGTTCTTAACACCAAAATGTGGTGCTTCATTACATCACACACCCTCCCGTGAGTCCTTAAAGCAAGATCAAATAAAGGAAGGTTAACATCAAGTTCCCACGCCCAAAATGACTCTGGTGTACTACCAACTCAGTGGATGTGAATGGGAAAGTCGGGGAGAAGAGACCCCCAAATCCAAACAAAAGCAAAGCAAAGCAAGCAAAGGCCGTGAATCAAGGAGGATGGTGTCCTAGATCAGATGAGTGGCTGTTCCTCCCCCCAGGACAGTCAAGAGAGGACAGAGAACTCTGGAGCACGCGCTCTGGCCAGGGGTCTCTGCCAGGGGAGGCCCTCGCGGGGCAGGCAGCGCCAGAGTCCCCGCCCTGGGGGATCGAGCCTGGTCTCCAGCATGGGCTCCGCTGGGGGCCTCTCGGGAGGAGAGTGAACCACAGTAGGTTTTAAGAAAGAACAGGGAGGGAGTCTCACGTCTGCACCAGCAGGGCGAGGGTCTGAGTGACGGGGACGTGAGGCAACCAAGTCCAACTGTAAAGCCCCCACTGCCAGGCCCCGGAGGTGGAGGCCAGGGTGGGCCTGGAAGATGGGTGGACCCAGGGAGAGCCCGTGAGGCCGGGTGCTTGTGCAGAACAGCAACGTCAGCGTGCGGCCGTGACTTACGCCAACACGTGGCATTCTGGAGCTCCTTCAGGTACTCCTGGGTGACAGAGCCCCCCACTGCACCACCTGTGATTTGTCATTACCCCTGCCAATGAAGGCCATCTGGAGCAGTCTTTACCTCTGAGATCACATTGTTTAAAAAATAGAGAATCTTTCTATCGTCAGGACTCGTTAGACAGATGAGAGTCAGGTTCCCACGTGGGTGGGGGACACTCCACGCGAGACCGACCGTGACTCAGTCTCAGCACTTTCTGGAAGGGACTGTCCCAGATCTGCACTGTTCCATGTTGTCTTCACAGTGTATCAAGCACCAGCACTGCCGTGGATTGGTTTCAAATAACCCTTTATATATAATTTTATATTTATATATATATAGTTATATCAAAACTGATAGTACATAGTATAACTGGAAGAAAGAACTAAACTTAAAGGATATGCTGAAAGGATGGAGTTGTGAACACAATAAATAAAAGTCCCCCCCCTCCCAACGCCCCCTCAACAAAACAAAAACAAAAAACCAGTTGTCATGTACATGGAAAATTGTGCACAGCAGATTTTTTTTATATAAAAAGTAGATTCAGGAGCACATCCAATTATAAATGATTGTTAGGAAAATCATATAAAACAATGGAATACATAAAAGTGTCACGAGTAACCGTCAGGGTGCGAAATTCCTGGGTGGCCAGATGCCCGTGGCGAGCAGGAAGCATCCTGCAGAGAGGCGGTGGCCGTCCACAGAGACTCCAGGCGCAGGCGCACGGGCAGGTGGCGGGCTGCATCCTGTACCCTGATGCGAGGTCCTCACTGCCCCACGTGCGGCCTCAGAAGGACTCGTCCTGCACTGCCGACATGTCGCCCTTTGGCGTGGAGGAGCGGGAGGAGCCCTTGTCTGTGCTCTCTGACCCCGAGCTGCTCTGATTCTGCTGTTCTGACCCTGCACTGGAGGTCACTGTGGACGAGGACGTTGAAGAGGAGCGAGTCTTTTCTTTAAAGTCTGTGATAATGACGGTGACGTTGCCCACCGTTACTGCCAACTGCTGTGCGGTGCTCCTGTCCACGTTTTTCAGCCGGGGCCTGAAATGCCAGGGGAAGAGCGGTTAAGAAAGGTGTGTGTGGTTTAACAGCAGCTTCCAGCACATTGTCACCCCACCAGGACCTGCTGGCACCAGGGCTCCAGGGGCCTGTCACAGATGCCCAGGGATGCCAAAGTGGCCACTGCCGCTGCCTGCCACCCACCCACCACGTGAGCTCTGCCCATCATAATCCTGTTCCTCTCTGTCCCCACCCAGCTCCTCAGCCCACCCCCAGGGCGGCCCTGGGCTCTGCACTGTGACTAAGGTCAGCGCCTGGCCCTGCCCCGCCTACCTCGAGGTGTGATTCGCTTCGCTGGTCTTTGCCGTGGCGTTGGCAGACTGTATGCTGTTGGCTTCGCTAGGAGGGTCTTTCAGGATGTCCGACTTTGGTCTGGGGAAGAGGCGGGGCGTTAGCTGTGTGCACCCCAGGGAGCACCCCCCAGAGGAGCCGCACCCCCAACCCCCCGCCCCGACTCACTTGGTTTTCTTGTTGGTGTTCTTCTTGGTGACACTAGGACTGATCTCCTTCTCCTTCTCAGGCTTCTCCTTGTCCTGTTTCTCCACTTTCTCCTTCTTCTCCTTCTTCGGGGGTGGTGGAGTGGCATACTGCTGAGCCACCTGTTGTGCCACCAGCTGAGAGTTGATGCGAGGTTTCCTGAAACATTCAAGGAAAGGTGGCCTTCAGTGGTTTTAAGTATTTTAAATGCTCACTTTTGCTTTGCTGCCTTGTTAGGTATTTCATTACAGACATCTGGAGACTCAAAGCCAGATTCTGTGGTGCTGCTTGAACGTTCATTTCCATACAGATAGATGAGGCACAGAATTTCTCCTTGTTCAAAGGAGCTGACACACTCACTGCTGTGTGGCCAATAAAAGAGGACAGTATTCTCAGAGTGCCGAGAACACTACTTCTTTTGAGCTGTCAAGATTATACTGACTGACATCTTTCACTCCTGCAGCACAAGGTTAATCTCGTTTTATTAAATGGACATCAGTAATCCCTTGAAAAGAATGAAATTAAAAGTGTGACATCCACTCCTCCGTCTAACTGCTCCGGTGCTCCCTGCAGCTATGAGTGACAGGGATGACCCACAGGAGCCGGGGGACGCTGCAACTGCAGCTCACACCAGCTCCCAGGGGTGCAGACTGGAAGTCACTATGGGAAAGTCAGACAGTGGCATATTCATTGTGCCATCAGCCGTCACGTCTGTGCCAATCTCCAGCTGACACTGGTGCGCAGCACTATGCTCACAGAATCCACGTGGTGCAGGGCGCTTTCCAACGCGTGACCACTGGGACCCGAGGGAGAGAGGAGCGGACACCTGTGCAGTTCCTCCTTGGGCGGCCCTCCTCACCTGCCACGAGACATCCCAAGGCTCCCCACGGGTGCCAGAGCCACTCGCTGTGTGGAGACAGACCCGATACCCCCACAACTACCAACTGATCTCAGGCCAAACAGCTCACACAGTGTGGGGATGCTGGACAAAGGGACAACTTGTGTCCAGGTCAGGACAACATGCTACGGTGCAAGTTCTTTGCAAGACTTGGGAAAGTGTGCAAGTAAAAATCCATGAAAAGTTTATTTCTGGAATTTTCCACTTGAGTTTTTTTTTTAAACTGTGGTTGACCACGGTAACTGAAACTGAAAAGTGAAACCTAGGGTAAGAGGACTATGTAATACTAATTTCCAAAGACCCCCTCATCGACACAGACATGCCCTGCAGAGAACACGCTCCCCAGGTGCGAGCCAACTGGGCCATCCACAAGCTGAGGGGCTGGGGGCCTCAGACAAGGACCACCCTCCATCCTCCAGCACAGACAAGCATGGCTGGCCCAAGAAAGGGGGCGCCTGGACCAGCATCAGAGTTGGTCTGCGAGGAAAAGAAGAGGCTGGGAAAACCCAGGAGACTCTGCTGTTCTCCCTGGGGTGTAGCGGGGAGGACAGGGGAGCCTGGGTGCTGCTTGTGACAGGGCTCAGTGTTGAGTACACAGCTGCAACCTCTCTGCTGGCGCCACCCAGCCTCCAGGTGTGCTGGCCGGAGAGCAGGCCACAGGGCACCCAGACCACGGGGCACCACGGCCAGTTGCGAGCACTCATGGACCTAGAGGCCCCCAGAGGAGGGGAGCCAAGGCCCTGCAGACACTAGCACGTCCTCTAGGCCTCTCCCATCTCTTCGTACAGTCTAACAACTGAAGTGGCAGCTACTCTGACCCATGCCACCATCTTTAGAGGAGGATGGCCTGTTAAAGCTCAGAGATGACAGTGACACTGTATGATTCTTCACAGCCTGCACGGGGATGCGACCTATCAAGAGCCTCAGGGAGCACCCCGAGTCCCAGCAGGGTCCCAACAAACTGCCATGCTTAAGCCAACCCTCAGGTGCTCAAACAAAGTGCCTCAGCCCATTCAGTGAAAAAGCGGCTTGAACTTTATGCCAAAGAACCCCTCGAGGCAGATTTTCAATTAAAGCCACCATGGATAGTTTCCTCCAGAGAAAGGCCACTCAAAGATCAGAGGGTGGCCGACCCTGATGCATGGGTTCCCACAAAAGAGAATCAGAGGCCAAGGGCCTGGCCACAGAGAGTCCCCCAGCGTTCACCAGCCTCCCCAGCCCGAGTCTGAGGGGCTGCTTGAGTTGGGACATCGGGCCATCACAAGCTACGCCTTAACTGCCAAGCCACCATGCACCCCGATGGCAAGGAGTGCATGTGTTCAGCACAGTGCTAGGCCAACCGAGGAGGTAAGTGAGCACGGGACAGAAAGGCAATGTGGGGTGCAGCTCTGTCCTGGGAGGAGACCCAGGCACGTGGGGTCACCAGAAGCCAGGGACAGGACAGCAAAAAGAGCACAGAGCTGTCACCGAGCTCTTCCTGAGAAGAGTGGGGCCAGGACTGAGGTGGTCTGCTGCTGAGCGGCAGGCACTGCACAGGCCAGCTCCTGAGTCATGAGTTCCAGAGAGGGACAAGGCCAGGTGAGAGGGGTGTGTAGGGCAAAGGACAGTCCATCTTGGGGAAAGGCTTGGTCCCTTCCAATGAGTCAAGAGGGCTCTGAGGGAAAGCCAGTGGACACTTCTGCCGTCAAGAGGATGGTCCGAAGAGCCTCGCGGCTAGCTGTTCCCACCCATGAAGTGGTAACAGGAGGAGCTGGGTGGGGTGGCGGGCAGCATTTGGGGAAGTTGGAGAAGGGACCTGGAAACCATGGAGATGGAAGCGGCACCAGGCTTGCCGGGTTGTACGTGGGAGGAGCTGGACATGGAGCAGCAGGAGGCGGCTACCTAGCCCACAAGGCCACAGGGCGCTCTCAGCTCCCCAGGGCTCAGGGCTCGCCCAGCAGCAGCCCGCTGGTGAGCGCTCTGCCTCTGGAGGTGCTGCGCACTGCAGCCGGGAGGCTCCCAGAGTCAGCTCCAGCCCTGCCCAGGTAAACAGTGGCCACAGGGCTGCCAGCCTCGCCCTGCCCGCCCCTGAGACTTCCGACCAGAGCAGTGACAAAGTGTGTGTTCCTTCCTCTGCACACACACCAAAGTTTCCCAAAAAGAAAAGGACCCAAGGCTGTGTGGGATCTGACCATCACCAAGAATGGGACGTCTGCGGGCCCTCGTGTTGTCTGGAGACTCTCTTGCTCGGATGTTGTATAAACGTGGCGTCCTGTGGGCCCTCTGATGCCCTGACAGCAAAGCACATAGGCACTCATTACTTCTGACCAATTAACTGTCTTCAATCCAGGTGTCTCAGCAAGAGCGACAGTACTTCTAGGATCAGGGGCACTTTCCTAAGAGGAAACACACCTTTGGGAAGGGGGAGGAAAGCCACCAGCGGGTTCGCACTCTCCGAGGAAAGGTGCTCCTGCGAGCACGCGCTCTGGGAGCACTGCCACCTGCCCCTCCCTTCTTTCCAGGCCAAGACTCTCCGGGCTGCCAGCAGAGCAGGACGAGCAGCCCCGACGGAGGGAGCCTCAGTCCTTACCCGGCCCATCAGTCCTGGGGGCCATCCTCCAGACAAGGCAGGCCAACTGTGCCCGAGCAGGAGAGGCCATCACAGGGCAGGCACACAATGAACAAGACTGAGCACAGCATGCTCCAGAGAAGGACTGTCCACTTCCTTTTATGAATTCAGAAAGCAGGAGGACAATGTTAAATTTGGCCATGGTTCAGTAATGAGGCGTTCAAACCCAGTTTTGCCCAGACTCTCCAGCAACTGTTCTCAAAAAGGTGTCCACAAACTGGCCTGGCACCTGAGACATCCCAGCAGACTGTGTGTGTGTGTGTGTCTTGGGTGAGGGGGTGACTTGGGCACAAGGTACTAGGGATGAAAGGCTCTGGTGAAGGCACAATTTAGGCGGACACCTCCCTGAAACCCCGGGCCTTCATTAGTTTCCCCTCACCACACTCGGGCAAGAGGGGGCTGCTGGGTTGTCCCTGAAGAAGAGAAAAGGGCATGGTAAGCTGGCCAGGGTGCATTCCTTGCTTCCTACTGCACTTGGAACATTCCCTTAAGAAATGAATCCCATCCCGACAGTGAACCCTGCTGATCAGTGAGAAATAACTTCTGACCAACCCAGGTTGCTTCATGGAGTCCCCACAAGCGACAAGCTAAGTTGCTGTGTTGACAGGCAGAGCTTCCTCACATCTGCAGCCGACTGCTTCAGAGCCCAGGGCTCCCAGCGCACAGCCAAGCCAGCTGTGTGCAGCCGTCGGCATGGCTGCAGCTCCCAGCATCTCTGCCTCAAACTGAAACCAAACACAGCAACCACAACCACCACCGGCCAAAACCAAAACCACGCGTTTCCCGCATTAAGTGTGGCACAGGCAAGTTTCCGGAATCTTCTTCAAGATGACAACTTCTTATGAAAAAATACCACCTTCTTGAAATTAAAATGTGCTATGAAATTTCAATAACAGGCATCGTGAGGAAAACATGTCTATTTGTTTGCATTTAAACAACAAATTTTATTTCACAAGAGTCCATTCCATAAAAACTAAAGCGAATCTTTACTTGGGGACACCCATGATTTCTGAAGCAGCAGCATCCCAGAGAGTGCCCGTGAGCGCAGGAAGCCTTTCTGGACGGCCTGGATCTGTGTTTACTCCTGCGTGCACTCAAGTGCCTCTCACAGTTCAGCCACAGGAAGTGACAAGCACAAGGCCACGTTCTGGTGTCAGCAACACAAAGTCAGAATTTTTTCAATGAACTGTCTTCTGTGCATCCTTTACTGAATGCACCTTTCAATGAATGAATGCCACCTTTCAATGAAACTACCTTAAAGGCTCTGGACCCATACCATCAGCTCAACTGCGGGGCAGGCAGGTGTGGGGTGTGTGTGTGCAGGGGGTGCTTTACCATCCTGAAAACTCACATCTTCACCATCAACCTTGAGTTCTGTGTCCTCCCTGGCACTGCACATTTGTAGTGAAGAATGGTTAGCTAGGAGAGGGCCCTTCCAGAACAGGCACTCTCTTAGCAAGAATAGGTGGCATGGGGGGGGGGGGCACTGCACTGCAAAGGAGCCTCCTCTGGGGACTCTCTTCCTTGTGTTCAAGTGCTCAGGTCACACCCACGCACAGGGTTTGACTAGGATGCATTTGACCATCAACACTAACTAGGTCTTTGTATTACTGACACCCCCAAATCTGTTATGTCCCAGCAAGAAACATCCCA